CATAGAATTTACAAATTTAAATAAAAATTATTTTTTTTACCTAACATTACTCAAAAATAAAACGTCGGGGATGGAAACATGCAATGCAAGTGATACTCTTGGCGGGACATAATTTTTGGTACTATAATAGATTTTTTATTTTATTAATTTGTATTATATTTCTCTTTTTATTTGTTAAATTAATGAACATCCTTACATGCTATTAATGTGCTTATAGGAAATTATTTCAGAGAAGATATTATTCTTAGTAGAAATAAAAAATCATTTTTTTATAGAAAAAAACGATATTTCTTTAGAATAACTTTAACCAATATTGCCGTTTGGTTTGTATAAAGATTGATGCAAATTTACTACTATGCCTTAGACCTTTAAACTAAATATTAAAGTTCTTTATTTTTTAACAAATGATATTATCTAGTTTCGATATTATCTACACTAAGGGGGTGGGGGAGTGTGTTAAGCCTTACAATGAACTAGCATAATATGGTTCAATTCATCTTTGGCGAGAATTGAACCTAAAACCTCTAGTTACAAGTGAAGATGAATTCTACTAAACCGCAATACTAAGTGACAAAAAGATCCTTATTAAATAAGGGAAACTTGAGATTTTATCATCTTTAGTTCCGTTAATATATACTAAAGATATAAAATTTATCTTTAAGGGAAATGCCAAATTTTAAATATAAAGTTTAAATTTGAAAGCTTGACACTTTGATCTTTTTAAAAATTTTGTTCTCCATCTAATATGTCAAATTTAGACTATTATTTATTCCATTATTTATTATTTATAATTGTAATAAGTATTTTCTTTTTCAACAAACAATATTATGTACAGTAAAAGGGAAGGGGTGGGCTTAGCCTCTCAATAAACTAGCAATAATGTGGTTCAAATTCGCCTTTGGTGAGAATCGAACCTAAGACCTTTCACTTACACGAGAAGAAGAATATCACTAAACTGTAGTACTTTTATAGAAAAAAATAACAATAAAAATGGTAAAAATCACTAAAAATAGATTTGAAGTTGCTGTCAAAACTAAATTTGACAGCAACCACCTTTGAGGACAATCCACGTTATGCCACTTAGGAATTGGCATTTCTGTTGGAAAGCACTGATGCTGTCTTTTTTTATTGTTATGGCATATATTTTGACTCCACCTTTGGAGATGCTCTTAATTTACTCTCATTGAAAACCAAAATTTCCCTACTGATCGGCCCTTTGCTACGACTTAGGGTTAGTAACAACCATTCTCTCCCTTCTCCTAATTCCTTTTTTTCCCTTCCCTTGCTTCACTCACTCTTCTTCCTCCCACTTTCTGCCCCTTCGCTTCTCCCCTCATCTTACTTCCCCCCTCTCTGCTTTCCTCATTTTTTTTTCTTGTTGTCACATTTCTCTATTACAACCCTGTTATCTCTTTCACGACATTGATGGAGTCTCATTCCCAAAGCTGAGCTATGCCTTATTCTCAAGGTTTAGTACCTTGATTTTGGATAGACTTTTAGGGTTGGATTTATGGTTATTGGTGGGTAAGATCCATCGCATACAACTTAGTTTCCATGGTTGAGCTTACTTACATGGTGACTCCACCTTTCTTATATCGCGGTCACTTTAGATCTTTCTAGAACTGGTGAAGTTGTTGGTGGTCTTGCCAGTGTGTCCTAATCTTGACTATAGAGATGAGCGGACTAGTGAATTTTCTTCTTGGACTAGTTTAAGTTATTTGTTAAATTTTATGTTGTTGTCCCACTTTGCAAATGATGTGGCCTCACTTTTTAGCAATTTGGCTTGTCTATGAGGTATGTTGTGGTTACATTCTTTTAGGTTATTTCTCTATACCAAAATGCCTCATACTTCACAACTTTCTCTGTATTGCACATGTTAAGAATGGTCATTCAAACATGATAATTTTGATATAGTAAATTTCGTTTCATTACTTCATCAATCCAATCTAAGTATAATAACTCAATGGATTTTGTCAATATAGGTCGATCACCCATGTGTACATTGTAAGGAGTAACCAATCTAAGGGTTACTCTCTTGACAGGTGTCATAAGATTGGACAATTAGTTAAGAATTTGTTAAACAATTGCTTATCCTGTAAACTACCTTAGTTACATATAAATACTACAATGTTGATGTACTCAGTTAGTTAGTGAAAATATCAATACAAACAAGATAACTTATTCTCTAAGATTTCTCTTTCTCTCATTCTCTCTCTCTCTCTCTCTCTCTCTCTCTCTCTCTCTTTAAGCTTTCTCTCTCTAGTTTTGTATTCTCTGCTGCATAAGATCAATCTTGGTTAATATGGTATCAATCACAATTTAAGCTTCATCAACTTTCTCACCAGTACAAGCATAAAGACTTGACGACTCGTCGATCTTGGATTCTTTGCTTCTGCTACTACAATATTCTCGAGTTGAATTCTTGTTCTTCGATCATAGGTTCTTTCTTTCTGATTTAGGGTTCTTCATCTCTAATTATGGAACTTTTTTTTTCTTCGCTTCTGGTTGTGCACACCAAGTGTTTGTACTTTGGTCTTTGTACATTATTTTCTTGAAGTTCAACAATGGTGATCGCCACTCAGTTACAGATATTGCAGTCTCCTATTACTTCCCTAATTTCATTGGTTTCGACCTCTATAACCATGAAATTGGATGACACCAATTATTTGACTTGACATTTCCAAATGCAGCTTTTATTGGAAGGCCATGGAATTATGGGGTTTGTCGATGGATCTATACTATGTCCATCTATGTTTCTTGCTCCTAATTCTTAGGATTCAAAGATTTCTTCTGGGCAACCATCTGATCAGTCTCTTGCTCGTAATGAATAAGATGAATACTTGGTTTGGAGGATGCATGATAGAGCATTGATGCAGCTCATCACAACTACTGTATCTCCACCAGTAATTTCTTGTGTGATTGGAAGTACAAGTGCTCATGACCTATGGACTTGACTCAAAGAATAGTTTTCTACTATTACTCAGACAAGTATACTTCAGATGAAATCTGAGTTGCTAACTATCGAGAAAGGTATTGATTCTATTAATGTGTATCTTCAAAGAATTAAAGAAGCTAAGGATTATTTGTCTACTGCTAGTGTTTACTTTGAGGATGATGATATTGTGATCCTTACATTTAATGGGCTGTCATCTTAGTATAATACAATCAGGTCTGTGATAAAGGGGCGTGAATCTGTTATTTCTCTGAATGATCTTTGGTCACAATTACTTGTTGAAAAAGTAATGATTGAGACTCTCAATAATGTTCCAATTCTTACTGCATTAATGGCCCAATCTCTTAGTTTTCCTAAAAAAAACCTTTAAATTTTCAACCTTAGACTCAGTCTGGTAGGCCATACAATTCATATAACTCCAACTCTGGCTACAAATCTTTCAACAATAAGAACAAGGGCAAATTCAATTCGAATAACAGGTTCAATAACTCAAAACCATTCTTCAACATTGTAGTATATATATGTAACTAAGGTAGCTTACAAGATAAGCAACTGTTTAACAAATTCTTAACTAATCGTCTAATCTTATGACACCTGTCAAGAGAGTAACCCTTAGATTTTACTTTCTTGACAGGTGTCATAAGATTAGACAATTAGTTACAATTTCTGCAAGTTTCCATTTTTGGTACACCTACCCTATATTGTGATAATTTCTCTGCCATTGCTCTTACGTGTAATCCTATCAATCATCAACACACAAAACATATTGAAATCGATGTTCATTTTGTGAAGGAACAGGTGGCTAAACAAGTGTTGTTGGTTCAGTTTGTTTCTTCACTCGAGTAGTTTGTTGACATATTAACTAAATGGTTGTCTGCACCTTTGTTCAGGACTCATTATGACAATCTTAGACTCAGTTTTACTATTCCTGAGCTTGAAGGGGGGGATGTAAGGAGTAAACAATCTAAGGGTTACTCTCTTGATAGGTGTCATAAGATCATACAATTAGTTAAGAATTTGTTAAACAATTGCTTATCCTGCAAGCTACCTTAGTTACATATAAATACTACAACGTTGATGTACTCAGCTAGTTAGTGAAAATATCAATACAAACAAGATAACTTCTTCTCTAAGATTCTCTCTCTCTCTCTCTCTCTCTCTCTTTCTCTCTCTCAAAGCTTTCTCTCTCTAATTCTGTATTATCTGTTGTGTTCATCTTCTCTGCTGCATAAGATCAATCTTGGTTAACAGACATGTGTGACTAAAATTTACGTTATTGTCAGTTGCCTTGCATATCCGAACTTTCGAACGCCCACGACTGATGCTAACAATCTCATATTTAATCAGTACTTTTTCATATCAAACGTGCTCAAACCTCTTTAAGTACATGAGAAATCATTGAGTGGCTCGCTATAGTCTTAATCATCGAGGTGTATCTTTTTGGGACGATGTCAGTCCTCCATGGTTAATGTGTTATCTCTGATGATTGTTTTGTTTCTAGCATGGATGGCTCTTTTTCCATGTGGTTTACCCAGGACGAGGATATTTCAGAGTCTTTTCACATTCTTTTCCATGCTCTCTGTATTAGTCTATTTGGTCTATTATGAATGAAATCCCATGCTCTCTGTATTAGTCCATTTGGTCTATTATGAATGAAATCCTATATTACCTTAAAAAAAGTACATGAGAAATCAAGAACTATAGAATTATTCCCAGCATGGAAAAACCATTACACCAATAACCAAGATCACCAACAACTTGCAATTCGTTAACCTAGTTAAAAATTGTCTTCTCTTGTTCATCAGGGATTTTGATTTTGTTCATAGGAAAAGTAAGCACGGTTGGAAAAGATTCGAATCTAAATTTATACAAGATTTAACGGGAGGTAAAAATTCAAATACTAGGCAGTAGCGAATAGATTTGGGAGAAGAAAAAAAAAGAGTTTGGTAGCCGTCATCTATTGCACCATACACTTCTTGCGGAGAATTAAACACCCAAAAAACTGCTCTCTCTATATATCTTTATCTCTCTTATTCTCTCTCTCATAGCAATTACACCTTTCTCTCCCACCATTAAATGCAATTGCATCCTCTCAATACGCTCTGCAATTACTCCTCGCTGCCATACTTTTCTCCCTCTTCCCCCCTTTCTCCTTACTTGCCTTTCTCTCTTTCCTAAAACCACTTCCCTTTCTTTTTCCTCATCTTCTTCTCCTTTTTCTTCACCTTCTCTAACTTCCAAAACTATTTACTACTCCAGAGTCCATACCATATAAATATATACACACACATATAAACTCTTATACACCAAAATCCGTACGCCGGAAAACCACTCTTGGGTCACCAAACAGTGGCTTACCGGCACCAGTTTAAAGCCCAAAGCTAGATCTACAACGCCTCGCTCTCTAGGGCTTTTGATCAGATGCACACATACAACATCATACATCCTGGTAACATATTATTCCACCCTAGATTTTTGCATGCTCTAAACTTTTCATTTTTTGTTCGACAAGCTTCTGTATTCTCAGTACTAGTAACGCTTCTGACAATTTTTGTTTTTTTGATTTTTTTTTTTAACATTTTTTTTGGCATTTTGCGTTGGTGCAGCTAGGGCAAGACCAGAAAATATAAGGAGAAACTTGGGTGTTAAAGTGGGTTTATGAATTTGGTTTAGACCCATTTTTTGTCTGTCAAAACTCAAAAGCCGTGTTAAAATTGTCAACCTATTAATATTATAATCTCTTCATATACTCACACTCTCCATTTCATCAAGTACAAAACGAAAGTGTGTTTGTCAGCTCTATGTCCCTTTGTTTCCCCCGCGTCAAATAACCTCATCCTCAACATTTGTGTGGGAAATTAATCCATACAAATTGCAAGTTCTGGTTAATTTGGGGGGTTTTAAGTCTTGAAATATCCCGGCCGGGCTTATGATTCCGGCTAGAAACATGCCTTCGATGATTGGAAGCAATGGGAACATTAACGGGTTTGCATCATCTTCAGGACTCACACTTGGTCAGGTCAGTGTGCTTAATTCAAGTTTTGTTGTCTAATTGGTATACTAATTTACACATCTACGACTTCGCTTTGCAAGGCTAATTAGATCTAATTTTTTTTCCCCAATGATTGTGCAGTTATCTAAAGCTTAACCAAGAAAAAATTTATTTTATTTTGTTCTTATTGTTAAAATTCAAAGTTTTCAAATTTTTTTCATTCGTTTTTTAAAATTTATAATAGGTTTTGTCGGTACGTCTGGATCCATTTTTCTAATATATTTTGTTTTATCTAATTTTCTTTTCTTCTTCCACTTCATCTCGGTATTTTAATATTTTAATTAATTATTTTTATACCGTAAGACTGGTTTGACTACTCAGATAGTCCAAAATTTCCATTTTGTAGCAAAATCCTTCTCGGTTTTGCGAAAAAAAGTTGGAATGGTTTTCACCACAAACACAAGCACAGAGATTTAAGTTCAACGCATTTTCTTGTTCATTTTTTTTTTCAAATAGTATTTTAGTATTTTGACCCGATACTTATGTGCTAGCTCCATATATTTTCTTGTAATATACATATGTAGACGTTTGTCAAAGGCTAAATATAACGCAGTAAGAGTGTGCAGGTGTAATGTAATTTTTTCTTTTCTTTTGAGTGGGTACATTTTTCCATTCTGTTGTTTTGACTGAAAAACCATAAAGCTTTCTAAGCCCTTGGGACTAAAATCAAAATCTTAAAGATCTCTGGATATGTTTCAGCCAAACATGATGGAAGCCGGTCATCTGCACCCGTTAGACATGGCTACAAACACCTCTGAAAGCGACATTGCTCGGTTCCGAGATGATGACTTCGACAGTGCTACCAAATCCGGCAGCGACAACCCTGAAGGCGGTTCCGGTGACGACCAAGAAAACCGTCGACCCAAAAAGAAGCGTTATCACCGCCACACACAGCATCAGATCCAAGAAATGGAAGCGTAAGTAATATTTATTAATTAGTCTCAAACCTCCTGAACAAGCTCTTGTTAATGAGTTGTTGTTTATAGTTCACCTTTGAAATAAATTTTTTTGCATGTTTTATTTAGTTTTTTCAAGGAATGTCCCCACCCAGATGACAAGCAGAGGAAGGAACTGAGCAGAGAATTAGGTTTGGAACCATTACAAGTCAAATTTTGGTTTCAAAACAAGCGCACCCAAATGAAGGTATATTTTGTTCATGACATGTCTTCAATAAGGGTTTTAGAATACTCAAACTTTTGTCATTTTTTTAAGTTTTTCTTTTGTTAAAGCTAATAATTGGCTGCTTTTGATTTGTTGTTAATGATCTATTACAGACTCAGCATGAGCGGCATGAGAACACACAACTTCGGAACGAAAACGAAAAGCTCCGTGCTGATAACATGAGGTACAGAGAAGCGCTAGGTAATGCCTCATGCCCTAATTGTGGCGGCCCAACAGCTCTAGGAGAGATGTCATTCGACGAACACCATCTGAGACTCGATAATGCTCGATTACGAGAAGAGGTAGAGAAAACTAAAGATCAAGATAATATCAAACACATTTATTATTTGGTGGATATTTTACCTGTTTTGGTACAACAAATTAGGATAAATGTTACATATATGTTCCAGATTCATAGTACGTGATATGTCCCCAGATTGATGACTTATTTCCTTTATTGTTCAGATCGATCGTATATCTGCGATAGCTGCGAAGTACGTTGGCAAACCGTTGGGAAACTACCCTCTCATGTCTTCTCCTGTTCCTTCCCGTGGTCCACTTGATCTTGGGGTTGGGAGCTTTGGTGGTCAGCCAGGCATGGGCGGTGAGATGTATGGTGCTGGAGACCTTCTCAGGTCAATCAGTGCACCAAGTGAGGCAGACAAGCCAATGATAATTGAGCTTGCTGTTGCAGCTATGGAGGAACTCGTCAGAATGGCCCAAATGGGTGAACCCTTGTGGATGACCAGCCTTGATGGCAGCATGACCGTACTTAATGAAGATGAGTACATCAGAACATTCCCTCGTGGAGTCGGGCCAAAACAAAATGGCTTCAAAACTGAAGCTTCGCGTGAGAGTGCAGTTGTTATCATGAACCACATTAACCTTGTTGAGATTCTCATGGATGTGGTAAGCTTAATTAACAACTTTATTACACATTTACATATGTCTTTATAAGTGTATATCATTGTACATATTAAAAAACAATAATATTAATAACGCCTTTGAATTAAGGAATCGCATGAACCCTAATTATTATTTGTTCGGATTTTGTAACGTGTAGAATCAGTGGTCGACTGTATTTTCTGGGATTGTGTCAAGAGCTTTGACCCTTGAAGTCTTATCAACTGGCGTGGCTGGAAATTACAATGGAGCCTTGCAAGTGGTATGTATATTTTCGCCTCAAAGTTCAACTTCAGCTCTCCTTATTAGTCATCCATTGTTTAGATATTGTGATACACATATTCTTGTATTAAAATCTTGTTTGTGATTTGGTAGATGACGGCAGAATTCCAGGTTCCTTCACCACTTGTTCCAACTCGTGAGAGTTATTATGTGAGGTACTGCAAACAGCATGCTGATGGCACCTGGGCTGTGGTTGATGTTTCCTTGGACAACTTGCGCCCTAATCCTGCACCCAGATCTTGTCAAAGAAGGCCCTCAGGATGCCTAATTCAAGAAATGCCAAACGGGTATTCAAAGGTATATAGTTTTTTTTTTTTTTTTGAACAAAAAAGATATATAATTAAACACGCTAGCTATATATACATAGCATGCATGTTTCACTTTCATATGAAATTTTGAGGCCCAATTTTTACGGTACATACATTTCATCTAATGATAAGTTTTGCTGCCTTAGGTTACATGGGTTGAGCATGCTGAAGTGGATGAAAGAGGTGTTCACAACCTCTACAAGCAGCTGGTTAGCTCCGGCCACGCATTTGGCGCTAAACGATGGGTTGCCACCTTGGACAGGCAATGCGAACGTCTGGCTAGTGCGATGGCATCAAACATCCCTACCGGTGATGTTGGAGGTAATAACAATTTAGTTTGCTATTTTATTATTCTTTTTGTAATATTTGTATGGAATTATATTTGGCACGAATTCTTCATATGGGGCTAGCGTGCTACATTGTAGTATTCACTATAACAGGATGGTACGTTAAATATGTTAAAAGATTGCGCGTGTCTAAAATGGCATATCCCGTTAATATGCATGTCATTAAGCCTAATTCTTTTTTAAATAAATTTATTAACCATAATTGTTTATATTTGTTAAATTCATGGTTAATTAGTGATTACAAATCAAGAAGGGAGAAAAAGCATGCTAAAATTGGCTGAAAGAATGGTGATTAGCTTCTGTGCTGGAGTGAGTGCATCAACCACTCACACATGGACCACACTGTCTGGAACCGGGGCTGATGATGTCCGGGTGATGACCCGAAAGAGTGTGGATGATCCCGGAAGGCCTCCAGGTATTGTGCTCAGTGCCGCCACATCTTTCTGGCTGCCAGTTCCTCCCAAAAGAGTCTTTGAGTTTCTCCGCGATGAGAACTCTCGCAGCGAGGTACATACACTTTAACTACTCTTCAAATTTAATTATTTGTCCTCCAACTCTCAGAATACATTTACCAAATCTAATACTGGAACCAAATTAATGCACATACATTTTGCAAAAGCCTGAGAAACAAGTACATGAACTATTACTAAAACATACCATAAACGGACAAGCATTTATAGAAACCATTTGCACATTAAGGAATTTCTACGGAAAACGAAAAGTATATATTTTCTCTCATCCCACCTAATATTGAAACATTTTGTGTCAACCTCAGGAGAAAAAAGGAAACGGAAAAGAAAACACAGATGGAAGTTTGGTTTTTACAAAGAATTAGCTAAACTGAAAGCATATATTTATTCTCCTTAAATTGTTCTAATTGATTAATTGTGATGATCACTTATGCTTGCAGTGGGATATTCTTTCCAATGGGGGAATTGTTCAAGAGATGGCACACATTGCTAATGGTCGTGACACTGGAAATTGCGTGTCTCTACTACGAGTAAATGTAGCTTTATCTTTTATAACAATAGTAATTATTATAACAAAATAATAGTTGTTGACAAAGAAACTTAAATTAAATTGTAATAATGGTTTTTTCACATAACAATTGACAATGTAACTAAAATTAATTTGTAGAGTGCTAATTCAAGCCAGAGCAACATGCTGATACTGCAAGAAAGCTGCTCTGACCCAACAGCTTCCTTTGTGATTTATGCACCAGTTGACATTGTTTCCATGAATGTGGTGCTGAATGGGAGTGACCCTGACTATGTTGCCCTTCTTCCTTCTGGGTTTGCTATACTCCCGGACGGAGCCGGCATTGGAGACTCTGGCTCTGGTGGTGGTTCCCTTCTCACTGTTGCTTTTCAGATCTTGGTTGATTCAGTCCCCACTGCTAAGCTGTCTCTCGGATCAGTTGCAACAGTTAACAATCTTATCGCTTGCACTGTTGAGAGGATCAAAGCTGCATTGTCATGAGACAATGCGTGAACTTCATGCCTCAGTTAATTTCTAGGTAAGCTAATTATACATGTCACGTATTACAAATTAATTACATGTCACATATTTGATGTGTAATATTCGTCAAATAATCGTTTGCCTTTAGTTTGTTGCAGTATTAGGACGAGGAAGAAAGGTGAACGGACAGAGACACCGATGGTGGCAAGGAATTTCGGCAGCTTATACCCAGGAGGGGAGAAGTCAAGATCGCACCCTACATGATCTTTTTGTATAATCTATAAAGAGATTAGGGGTTCGGGTATTGACTTCCTCGAACAATGTTAAAGGCAAATTAAGCGCTTCAGACCTTATTAATTTTTTAGTTTTGTGTTTACTGAACTTTCTCCTTTTCCACCTTCTTTAACATTGTACACAGGATTAGGGTTTTGGAATGGATATTGCTTTTCTTTATGGTCAATCGTTCAGGGTTTTTTTTTTTTTTTTTTTTTAAGTATGGTTTTATTTTAAGAATTTTTTTTTAAGTAATATGTATTGATTGATTGTGGATTGTTTGCCTGTGTTGGTATTACGCGGCTTTTGATTTAAACGGTTTATTACGATAAAATTACACAATGTATCAATGTATGAGATACAACGTTGCATTGGACAACTTCAATTTGGCTGCTCAAACACTAGTGCATGCGCTAATGTAGAAAAACCAGTATTACAAATCCAAAGGTATTCTACCACATGCATTGTATGATACCTGAAATACAAGCTGTTAATTAAAATCCAGCCCTTGATTAGTTCAAGTGGAGGAGGGTAGGGGAGTTGGAATTAGGATAGGTCAAGATGACTTAGATGAGCGAAGAAGCTTAATCTTAGTTGGGAGGAAATTATCTCTAAGTGGACAATTTTTTTTTTCTGAACAAAAAAAAAAAAAAAAAAAAAAAAACGCTTAACTGTAAGTTTGTAATATTATATGAATAAATTAGGTTATCGAATGATTTCATGTGCCACCGATTCTTCAAATTGCGAAGATGTATACTCTATATGTAACTTTTGATTTATTAGGGATGAGATTCTCTCCCCTTCCTTTTTCCCTTTCTCTCTTCCCTCCTTTTATAGTTTTTTTCTAACTTTTTTGTTCCCTCTCTTTATTTTTTTATTTTTTTACAAAGAAGAAATCTTCAACGTTCAAATATAAGAGGAGGGAAAGAGAGGAAAAAAAAAAAGGAGGGAATCCTTGTCCATTTATTATCAAACAATCAATTAAGAATTATAAATCAAATGCGCACAAATCATGTTTAAATCAAATGTATGATTCTAGTTGACTGATAAATGTCTGACAACATTTGGATCACTTAACCAGAATTTTTTGTGCTTTTTCCGGTGGATTTTAATGTAGGCATTACATCCATTATTTAGTTACACATTTTGAGCATGTGCAACATAATCTTTAAAAAGTTGTGTTATCTTATCCTATTATCTTATTTCTCTACTCACTTGTGAAAATTTATTGACAAACTTAACCTCAAGCAAGATGACGTTTAAGACCTAAACAAAACAAAGTTTTAAAAATAAAAAAGTGATACAAGAGAATTCTTAATGTCACTAGCTAGCCACCACCCACCCAACCATTTTTGTTGGCAAAGAGACCAAAGAACACTCAATGGCACCAGGACACTCAATGACACCAAGAAATATCCAATCGTCCAAGAAAAATTGCAATCGTGCACCAGATTCCTCTTGCCCATTATTTCGAACTTGGACATTTTGTGCCAATCTCCTTGATTTCAACGATACAGTCATCAGAGATCAGCCGGAAGAAGGAGACCTCGCGAGGACAACGAGGCTTCGTCTCTGTGTGATTGTTCTTGATAAAAACCGGTATGGATGCAAAAGGGAAGAGGAAGACAAATAGAGAGGGAGCAAAGAAATAATTTGAGTCCATCCTTGCCGGTCGTTCATGGTCTGGTGCGAAACTTAGGAGAGAAAGGGGTGTTTGTCGTCCCGCGTCGAGTAGGTGGATATGGATGCTAGGTTCTTTGAGTTTCTCTTCAGTTTTTTGTTTTATTTTACTAAGAAGTAGTACATCAATTAAGGTGGGTGAGAAAAAAGCATTTTCATTTTACAATTTTTAGTGGTGGCTGGAAATATAAGGTGGGGGTAAGGAAATAAGACAGATGGGTGATATCAGCAACACTCTTTAAATTGTGGACATACTTTTTGTGCAGCATGAAAACTCACATCTAATAGATGTCGTAGAATAAGATCACACAACAGTCACATAACAAAATAATATGCAATTAATATATATGAGTTTTCATCCCTCGTATCATTCAGATCTATTGTGATAAAACTCAACACCTAATAATAGGTGGTTAGGTTGGTACAATATCAGTAATGTTGATGGTAGACTTGCTCACCTACATGGGCCTATAAAGTTTATCATGATATCATAGCAGTCTATTCTTTCGACAACTCCTGGGTCCTATTTACTGAGTTTGCCTCTTTAAGTTGAGTTTTTGGAAAGTTGTGCTAACTTCAGCTTAAGAATATTGAGTGACTAGGCCCTCAAAAAGTTGTGTTAGCTCTAGTTCTTGAATGATGATTGAGCTCTCAAAAAGTTGCATTGTCTCTTATATAATGACTTGACCAGTTCCCAATGAGGAATCGGTTTCCCTTGTGATTCCATGTGGGATAAGTCGTGAGGGGGCGTGTTGGAGAATAGGATCTCACATCGGTTATAAACAAAATAATATACAATTAATATATGGGAGTTTCCACTTCTAATATCATCGAGATTTTTTGTAATAAAACTCAACACCTAATAATAGATAGCTAAATTAGAACAATATCGATGATGTTAGTTATGAACCTACATGTACAAGCCTATAAAGTTTTTCAATTGACACTTAGCAACTGGATATATGAACCTCTCTTAAACTCTCAATGACTCTTAGTCCTCCTTGGTGCAAGAGAAATTGCAGTTGAAGTAGTACTAAATTACTAATTGGAATAAATGCAGTAGGTGCTTTATAACTAGACAGGAAGGCTCGTTGCTGGGTTCTTGTTCAACATACGTTGTGTAATATTGTCAGCAGTACGCTTGGCTTTTCTTCACTTCAGGGTGTGAATTCTTGGAAGTAATGTTACAATTAATGTAGCTACAAACTCTGTCTCATCTCATCAAATGAAGACCTCTCTGCACTATATCTACCAAGTAAATGTCAAACCAATAAGTCAAGTTGAAAAGTTTTCACACATGTTTGCAATGGAGGTGGATTGTTTGCCTTTCCATTTCCATACTTTCTCCATGCCCTTCTGTTTGTGTGATCACGGTTAAATCACGTCAATCATTTATATTCCTATTACTTTTTGTTTTATTATTTCTATAAAAATTAATATAAAATATTGACGTGACTTAACCGTGACTACACATCACAGGAGGGTATGAGGAGAGTATGGAAATGGGAGGGCAGACAATCCACATCCGTTTGCCATGAACCCTTTGAGTCAGCGCGCGATCACGTGCACACACACATACAAGGATAAATTATACAAAGCAACTTCAATTATGGATTGAATCATAATCTCATACTTCATATTTTAAAAATTAAAATGTTATATCTCATCTTACGAATTTGTTGCAATGTCAAATCTCCGTTAATTTTTCTGTCAATTGCTCTGTTAAATGCGGAGTTGACTTGAAACGGGGCCTACTCCCTAAGACAACTGGATTAAAAAATTAATTAAATATTAAATAATAAAAATTAAATCTTTTTAAATATTTTATTAAAAAAGAATAGGAGTCATTTAAAGGATGATGACCAATCCACCCTTCTTCCCCAGTACACTTGCGTCCCGCCGCCACCCTTCTCCTCAAACCCCCACAACAGCAGCAACCACCACCACTACTACCCAAAGACGTCGTCATACTCCTCCTTCGCTTCCTTCAAGGGCTGCTGCTGCTGCCTCTTTTTACTCTTCTCCTTCCTAGCACTCCTCGTCCTTGTCGTCAAGCCAAAGAAGCTGCCGTTCAATGTCCAGCAAGTCGGCAACCCAATCCCACCCCAACCAAAACCCCACCTCTGCCTCCCTCTCCCTCAGCGTTCACATGCAGCTCTTACGGTGAGTCCAAGTTCACTGTCATGTACTACGGGATTTCATTGGGCATGGAGAGCAACGAAGGCAGGGGGAGTCGAAGGAGTGGCGGAGGAGGTTGAGGTGGAGGCAGGTGGTGAGGTTGGGGTGCCCGGAGATGGGTGTCGTCGGGTGGACTGGGGAAGAAGGATGGGTTTGTAGGGTTGGGTCCCACAATTTTTAACTAATATTTAAATGATTTAATTTTTAAATTTTGATATTTAATTATTTTTTAATCGCTGGAAAGTGGATCCCATCTTAAATCACGGTAACATTTAATAGAGTAATTGACAGAAAAATTAACAGATGTATGATATTACAACAAATTTGTAAAATGAAGTATGACATTGTATTTTAAAAAAAAATAAGGTACGAGATTATGGTTCTACTCATAGTTAAAATAATTTTGTACATACAAATTGTGATACACTTTTCAATAGAAAACAGTGGATGTCTCTATTAGACTAAGTCTTGATGAACGTAGGAATTGCAGAAAGAAAACACAACGGAAAAATCATAAAACGAATGGAGGCAACCCTAATAGGTTGAGAGTGACTAACGTTGATGTTGGATTGAATTATATATGTTAAGAGCTTCAAAGTTTGATAAGTTACTACGAATCTAAATGCTAATTAAAAGCAACCTAAATGTCTAACATAAAAATATTTCAGAGACAATTTCCTTCTGATGAATCCAAATGGCAACACCTTTCAATCATTCATAACAAGAGTTTGATTAATAAATAGAGGACATAAACCCTTAAACGAAAATTTTGAATTTTAATAGGGTGAAATGCTAATTTAGTCTTTGAATTATCATTTGAGTGAAAATTAGGTCCCTAAACTATTTTTTCAAAAAAAAATCAGTCTTTGAATTATAAAAATCTCCCAATTACATCCCTAATATTAGATTCGAAGCTACTATATTCAATTTTCCGTCAATTTAAGTCACGTTACTTGCATGTGATACACATTACAGAGTAGATTAGTAATTTTGCATAAAGAAATAGTAAATGAAGTTAACTTTAGAGGGTAAATTAGACATTAAATTCGCAACCTATATGAAATGTTAAGGGCTTATAGGCGAGAAAATGACGGTCTTACATTCTAAAGTGTCAAGTGACTTGAGTTGACGAAAAATTGGATAAAATAACTTTAAATATAATAGTAGGGATGAAATTTGTAATTTTTAATGAATTTAGAGACTTATTTTACCGAAAAAAATTCATTTAAGAACTTAATTTTTACTAGGGTGATAGTTCAGAAACTAAATCGGCACTTCACTCTTATCAAAATAATATAAATTGTAAAATCTACGTCTGACAGTTCAGTTGTATGTTAAGGACCAAG